ATTTGTGAATGTTTTACCGCGCATATCGTGGAGGGATGCTTTATACTGGCCACAAGCATTGGCTGTCTACCGTGGCACAGAATCTACACTTCAATAATGTTGAAACTGTAACACTATTAGTTAGATTGTGTGTCACTGCTGAGCTCACCAACACACAGTTTGATGCCAGCCACTGTGGCCATATTTCGATGGGGGCGAAACGCTAAGACGCTCCTGTGCTTAAGGGTTTGTTCTGTTCGCCTGCACCACATGATCCATTTTACAAAGTGCTGCACATCGCCATTCTATTCAGTGGCGCAACAATAGCATCTTTTAAATCGTGTCATATCATTTCAAAAAGCCCAGGAGAGGTACAGCACCAAAACTAGTTCATGACTTTTCTTTACGTTCTGCTCTGACGGCGGTGGTTTGGTGCAGCGCACGCACAGCTTAACAAACAACATAACATTAGACGTAGGTACTGTACCCACCTCTACAAATGGGGCGCGTTTTGCCAAGATGTTTGCACCTCATTGAATTAATCGAACAAAAGTAAGGATTCCACCTTGTCGGCACCTTGTCATTCACCTGTGATGCCGCTCTGCTGAACTCGTGCTGCACAAGTTCTGAACTTCTCGTGCACAGCTGTGAACCAGTTCTGATTGATGCAGGTGAACTAAACTGACCATTGAAAAATAGAAGCTTGAAAATATAAAAAATATGTTAGCATAAGGTGTCAGAGCAAATGTTTTGACAAGCAGTCTTGTCTCCTGTGAGGCTACATTGTCATTTGTTTAAACTACTGGAAGCCAGAATCAATCTAAATTTGCCCAGTACTGTACGACTCACGATCACTTCATAGTTGGCATGTGAATCGTCAGAAATTATTAGTTGCAAAATGAACACCCCCACAGTGAGGGGCACTAACAGGCTTTCCTACATTTAGTTTTTGCCGTGTGACAGTTTACGAACAACACCCAGAACTGTTTTGTGTTAATTAACTGTGTTCAGCTCATAAAAGTTTACCGAAAGATGCGCAAAAGCTCATGCATAAGGCTGCACTCAATTGCTTTAGTTTTGCACATGTGTTCAATGGCTCCTAAAATAATAAATCATAAAGGTGATGAGCACTTGCAGCACAGCTTCCTCAAAGACGCGAATGCTGTGGTAAATAACAAGATTGTGTTCATTGCATGTAGTACTTTTTTTTTCATGTAGCAGAGAAACATCCCAGATTTCTTCGAGCACATCTGCTTCTGTTTAAGTTAAGTTGTCCTAACTATAGCGTCTACCACTACGAAGTGAAATTCTGTGCACTAAGGTCATGAAAAAAAATCCAAAGGTATTTGAAACATACATGATCTTGACTTATCGACAGCCACACTGCAAGATAGTGCGTATTTCAAGTCCTAACCTTTAAAAGTAGCACGGAGAAAACAACTTCAGCTTTCAAGCACAAGTACACTGAAAAAGCAAACACAATAACAAGTGTGTAATAAATGTGACCTTTATTGATCCAGTATTCGGAAAGATCTGCATTATGTACCACCAATTGATTTCAGGAGTGCTTGCTTGCAAGAGTGCTCAAACTCTATCGATATGTCTATGCAAAAAAAGGGATTGTGCTCAGGGCTGAGCAGATAGTGTACTGTAAGAGCACCAACGAGGATGTAAAAACAACAAAATTGTACAATGCATGCCTAAAGCTTATTTTTTTATAATTGCGCCTTTTTGATCTGTAAGCACACACCTCATAAGTGTTCCTTTAGCATACACGTTCACTGCATACTCAGAAGACCGGTCATTACCTGCGACGAAAAATTCTACCTGTTAGTCACTGTGTAACTTAACTTCAAGAATAAATGTAGCAAGCCTGAAATATTTTAGGTCCGTCACCTAAATACATATCACCTATGATATGGGCCCACGGCTGAGAATTAAAAATAGTGCCCACCCTGTCGACACGACATTGCACAATTGTGAAGTACTCAATGTAGCAATGCAGAGCGGAAAAAAAATCAGAACTGCACGCATCCGCAATTGCTTATTTAACAAATTTAGCAAAACTACATTGCTCTCACGGCGCTAGCTATCTATCAGTAATGTGCAAGTTTCCTTCCCGATTCAACATCATGCATTCACTTCACTTCAAGATCAACACTACAGGGCAAGCGCCGCATCTGACGGCAGAATCGAACCCTTGTCCTGAAGCCACGCTATTAAACTTGAGCGCCGCAACACACTGAGAGCGACGTTCATTCAGCGATCTCGATGTTCAGTTATATGTATATGCTTGTTAGCTTTCAACAGTCTTTACACATGGGTTTAAAGCTTTCGATATGTATGAGTGACTTGTTTTGTTCGGACCCGACCGCATACATTGATTGTACCGGCTTGGACACTCGCAATAAACAATGCAAACCTTACTTGATTGACGCTGTTTTTGCCAGTCGAGGCCAGCTAGGTCACCTGGCGATAATTACGGACGCGAAGCGCGATTTAGCAACGAAAAAAAAATCAGGAAGCGAGCAGCGCGAACCAGCCGCCCCCCCCCCCCCCCCGCCTGCCACCAAAAAAAAATGCGTCTGTTTATTGATGATGATAGTACTACCAGCGCCATCTCGCCTCACGGTATTGCAGTTCAGTACGCCGCCACTACGCATTTGCATGTTATTTTGATGCAACAGCCCAAAGGTACAGTTTCCGTTCTCTAATCTGGTAGGTGTTCTGTGGCCTGCTCTTACCGCGCGGCCAGCCGAATGAGGCGGGTGGTTTGACCGGGTGCACGCACTCGCCACCTCGTCATCTCGAAAAGCTCGATTTCCCGCTTTGCCTCTCCGTTTTCGGTGTGAACGATCCTTGATGTGCCCCGCACATTGAATTAAGATGGGATGGGGCGCTGCAATGAATCCCCCTCTTAAAGGAGAACCCAGCTCAGGCCTATTGTGGCCCATGTTCGGAGGACTACGGTGTTAAAAAACTAAAACCGTGATGAGTCGGCTGCTGACCCGCAGGTCGCGGGTTCAAATCCCGGCTGTGGCGGCTGCATTTCCGATGGAGGCGGTAATGTTGTAGGCCCGTGTACTCAGATTTGGGTGCACGTTAAAGAACCCCAGGTGGTCAAAATTTCCGGAGCCCTCCACTACGGCGTCTCTCATAATCAAATAGTGGTTTTGAGACGTTAAAAAAAAAGTAGTAGTAGTAGTAGTAAAACCGTGATGAGGGCACGCAAACATAATAATAACAGATCCACTTTTTGGTATCGAGATTTTGTTTTGATTTCTTTTAGGCAAGTTCTCGCATGCGAAGCTAAGAATGGCTGGACATAGCGAGCTAGGAGATACGTGTAATTATAGCCCCCCTTGTTGTGTTATTAGGGAGAAAAATAGAGATTCTTAGTTTAGCGCACGCAACGGCCTAGCGCACGCATCGCCTGGGAGGGAGCACAGCCGCGCATGCGCAGTATACGTAATCGAGATGCGTGCGTTTGCGCACGCGAGGGATGCGTACTCTAGATCTCGGCTCTTACGTTACACACACTACAGCCGGTGCGTACTTTAGCAGTGGCTCTCGAACAGACAAGACGGCTGCGACCGACAACACTACGGTGGTCGCGGCAGCGAACGAAATCCGTGTGAGTTTGGAAGGAGTTGGGACTTAAATAAGTAAGCTGAAGCCTACAAGTGAACAGGTGCAACGTATTGGGATCTCTGCTAAGCAGGAGCGCAAAGATGGAAGGTTGGACAACGTCATTCACGAAGACTCAGGAACGCGGTGGTGACGGGAAGCACCGCGACGGATTTGTGGGTTGTGTACGGAGCGTCGTGAATGATATCCTTTTCAACTGGGGTGGTTGCTGTGTGTGTCTAAACGAAAAATGTCTAAATGATCGCCTGCAAAAGCATTCCAAGTGTTAGAAAGTAAAGGTTAGTTCTGGTCACGCGTTTAGCGTGCATATGTGGATGCACGTACGCGTTCAACGATGCTCAGGTGATTTTTCTCGGACACGGTGCCCTCACCATTCTGAAAGCAGCAATCCCGACGTGAAGAATGACACGTAAAGATGCCGCCGCCAATGTGGCATTTTCGTATTTTGCGTGGATCAACCCCAGCTTGGTTTTTGTTTTTGTCTCGTGATCTTAAAAAAAAAAAAACGTGTGTAGCAAACAATAAATGTTAAATTGGCTGTGAGCAATAGTCTTCGCCGTCTCTGTCCCTCATTCGGCTCGTTCACCAAACCTCAACACCCCGAATCCCTACTACGGCCGCTGGATGAAAAACAAGGTCCTCAAAAAAGATCGCCTTGTCTCATACCCTGACTTGTGTATTGCGCCGACGAACACCGGTTATTACAACTTCTTGCCTCTCGAAGCAACACTCGAAGGCAAGCCTGTTGACGCCCAGGTGCACTACACGTTTCAGATGTTCCGAACGGCAAGCTAATGCTGTAGAACGCAGCCTTAAACGTAGCGTACGCAGCGCGCAGCACATTGCGCGCGTACAGTGTTGCGTACACTAAACTAAAACTATCTAATGGCGTAGAGGTAGCTCTAGGAAGAATGGGTCACTGGACCACTAGACAACTACATATCTGAGCTGATACGCCATAAGAAGAAAACGCAGGACATGCCTTCTGTATAACAAATTCAGGTGAAACGGTAACCTTGGTGAAATGGAAGTGCTGGTGACATCAGCTGTTTTGAGATAGGCAGAGCTCTTTCTCAATAAGTTATCTAGCTACTGAAAGTTTCCGCTCTCCCGATCTTTTCCCCACGCTAAACACTCCTCAGACTATCTTCGTGCAGAGTAGTAAAGTACACCATCACTACGAGGAGTGCAACTGCATCGTGTCGTTGTCAGAATGGTGCGTTTTCCCTATGTCCGAAGTGGCGGCTACTGCGCCTTGTCTTCTTTGATTTCTTGTAGGCAAGTTCTCGCGAGTTCCGTTACGTAGTTACGTTGTTTCGGTTGATGCTCGCGAATAAGAGTGACGAACCCTTTTTCTGCCGATGTATGCGCAGACAATTGGAGCACGTGGTGTACGTCAAGGAGAACCCTTTTCTAATGGACAGGCCCTTCTCGCCCGACGCTGGTGAGCTTTGCTGCTGCCTGACTAACAGGGCGCCGTTGGTCACTTTGGCAAACACGTTTTTGTAATTAGGTTTTGTGTATATTTTGTGTGTTTTTTACTTAACGCTATAGTAGTGATTAATGGATGAGGAATTGTATAGACACAAACGTACACTGCGGTTTCCTCGATATTTTAGGTATCGTTGCATCCCACCTGCTGATTCGAGAGAATCAAAGGAGGATGAAGCGTCTCGTCAAGGTGTCAATTATCGCGTTGATAAAATACTTGATGATTGCAACTGTGCCTTCGCAGCTTTAGCATACATCGTCCTGCACAAAATAGTGCCTCTATGCCCAGGTACACAATTTCTTCCTCTTGGCTTCGCTTTTGCAAAGTTTATCGCACATTTTTCTCGAAGCCTGAGTTGGAAACCACACGATAATTGTCACCTGTGTATTGACCTAGCATAAATTGAAAGCAGTGAAACTTTAATTTGATCTAAATCAACATCGCAGTAATCAAAAACTACTATACCACGTTCAGCCATACTAAAGAATTTTTCAATGTTAGAAAATTGAACTTCGACACTTCTACGTGGTGACGTGGGCTTTTGGTTCACTTGTAAGGAAGAAAGCATGGTTTAAGCCGTAGGTCAGATTATGCCCTCGCTTAGTCTTTGGTTCACGCTTGATTGTGAAGGCTGCTGCGAGACTTGTTGCATTGCACGTGTCCTCTCTGTGCGCTTCACATTTCAATTCAGTGAATACCATTACTAACCATGAATATTCGCAGTGCACGTGTGGGATGTAATTATGTAGAATGCATCGTGAATCTTATCTTCTCATTCGTACGCAGCCGGCTCCAACAAGCGACAGGCGTACGCAGCGAAGTACCACGCGATGACGATCGAAGGTCCAGTGACAAAGGTACGCTTCTCTGCACAACGCAGAACGTACAAAAAGAAGCGGCACGCCCCACCTCATTAAAGATGACCTCTGACATAAGACTATAAATCAGTGGCAACCACAATGTGACGCGATTATACTGCCTCGCAGACGTGAACAAAGTGCGAACATCCAGCAGTTCTGAATTATTAGTTTATTTCGCGAGAGTAGTCCAGCGCTCAAAAACGTCCTGTCTGCGTCTTATGTACACTGCAGCTGGGAAGTCCTGTAAGCTGATTAGCTCAAGGAGTACACACAGTGCCTGTGGCGTCTACTGTGCTTCGTCCTTGTGTCCTTGCGATGCCCTTGCTAACAAGTTGTAAAAAACCTTTCCACTAAACTCCGGTGACTTCGCATATACTTTGAGATGTAGGAATGTGTAAGTGGAGCAAATGCATGCATTTGACGTTATACTCCGGGACGTGAAGGACGGTGGATGCGGCCGAGCGTTGCGTGTCCGTGTGCGTGCGCGCAAAATCCCACCGCTTTTAAAGGGCCACTCATCAGGCCCCATACCGAATTTCAGTTAGACAGTGGAAGTTGTTGGGTGTCCGATAAGGAACGTTTTGCCTGAAAAATTTTTCGAATCGGTTCATTACGAGCGGAGAAAAAAGGTTTTTAGAAGCGGCGCGAAACGAGGGTGAGAGGAGACGAGCTCGAAACCCTTGCCGCTCCTCCACGTAGCTTTCACAAGCCAAACCTCTTCCCCACCCTCTCTGGCATCCGATCAAGAGGTGACGTTCGCATGACGTGCCCGAACAAGCCCAGCCCCCGTGCATGCTAGCGGCGTTGCTTTGTTGACCAGCGTTATTTTGTGGTCTTCTGCCTGTTTCTGTGGGATTGTTTGGAAACGCTGGCTTAAACGCGGTAGAGTAGATGAGCACGATGAGTTCGCGAACGCGTAGGAGCGTTCCACGGCGGTCGTCTGCTCAATGCGCTGACCGCGGGAACCCGAACGCGTATGAAACGCTGGCACATTAGCCCCGCATCTCGTAGCATTTCACGGGGAAAAATGTAAAAAAAAAACGTGCACAATTTTTATTGTGTCTCATTATTTATTTCAAGTTTTATTAATCTCTAAAGCAACAAATACATAAACTACGCATGTTGTGAAAAATAATTTTTGCCATGTCACGTGCTATACTGTTGATAACGTCAGAGCAGAGTCATCTTCGTAGAGGACCAACGTGACCGCAGTGCTGTGTACGTAGGGCCATTCCTACGCCCACGTCATGCCCTCATTCTCTACGCGTGCGCCGGTAGAGGAGAGGGCGAGCAGCATTCATCTTAAAATTGACCCATTTCCGCGGCGCGTGGCGTTGCAAATTTTGGCAGACGTGATCATGAACGCCTCGTCTACGCATTGCGTTTGACAGCTCAAAATTGTCAAACCTGGTGAGTGGCCATTAATGAACTTGCACGTTCCAGGTGAATTTAGAAATGAATTTAGAATGCGTTGTTACCGGCCACCTATCAAACGCACACTCGCGTCCTATTCAAAGACCGTAATCACACCTTTTTAGGAGCGAAGCTCCTTAAGGCGTGGGCTGTGCGTCCCCTGTATGTAGCCACCTCTCGTTCAGTTCTACGCTAGCCACCGCCCGATCTAAAGGGTACAGCCATATCCATCCGTCCATCCGTCCATCCGTCCGTCCATCCATCCATCCATCCATTCATCCATCCATCCATCCATCCATCCGTCCGTCCGTCCGTCCGTCCGTCCGTCCGTCCGTCCGTCCGTCCGTCCGTCCGTCCAAAAGATGCAAGATGTTATAAACTAGACGGCGGTACGTGTAGTTGATTATGAAAGACGCGAGGTGTTATAAAATAGGAATGATGCCACATATGGCGCGTGTCATCGTTCGATATAGTGCAGCGACGTACGCTAGGGGGAGCGTTGCAATAAAATCGAGTGGGCAAAATGTACGGAGGATTCATGGTTTACCAGGTTTACCTCCGGAGCTTCGCCCACTCATCATCATTCACTTCGTGGATATGGCGGCATTTTTTTTAAGTGTCCACGTTAAAATAGTAAAAGCTTGATGAAGCCTGGCCTTCTATGAAACATAGACCCGCACTTCATTCATAAAACACGCCCAATATCGCACAAATATCAAAACATTTGGCAGGCTCGCTCTTGCATCATTTTATTTTTTACAGCGAAAGCTGTTATGAGACCACAAGGGTCTCTTGCGCCATAGTTATCCGCCGCCGATTTCCGTAACTCATATCACGCGAAATGAAAAAATCTGGGTAAATAAAAAAGGGCACAATATATCTGAGCCCAGATCCCCTGCGTGCCAACGCAGTATTGTAATTCATACGATGAGCCACACCAGTACTTGCAACTCCGTTGAAAACTGGCCTTAGGCAGCATGATAATATATAGTAGCGCAGCCAAAGAACGTGGGCAAAAGACGGCACATTCACAACACAGCGCTAAGTTTCAAAAGTTTATTGCCCAGAAAGGAAATGCATGCAATACAGGGTTGCCGTTTGCTGATGTATGCGCGTACTATAGGTTACAATTTAGTGTTCTGAGAGCTATGCACATGTGACGTAATATCGCGAGCAATACGAGTTCTAACGCGTGAGTGCGTGGCCAAGAGCCTCATAATACAGATAACGTGATACGAGGATGGCACTACCGAAACTGGAGGGGAAAGGAGGGCGCTCTTCCGCTGACTGTTGACACTCCCGCATCACCATACACGCATGATCGTTGCTGTTAAACGGCAGTTTAGCGCGTGCCTTCGGCCGCTAGCAATGATGACATGAAAATGAAAAATTCACCGAAAAGGATGCATATCGAAATGCTCAGCGAACATCATCTAGATGTAATAAAAGCATGTGCATCACGGCCGGCTACGTCACAGCCCATGTTTTTGTAGCTTCATAGCCTGCTAAGTCAACTGGTTGTGGATGTGTGCGTTGAAATGAATTCATATCACCGACGGCACCCACTAGCAGCCGACACGCTATAACCTGCGTTTTGCAGCAACGATATCGAGGCGGGAGTGTCAACAGCTAGCGTGAGCGCGCCACCTTTGGTTTCCCACAGCGGCCGCTGCAAATCAGCCGATGTATGACTCGAGGCTATTCAACATGCGATAGTATATTGCTCACGATAGTACGTGTATGATTTTGTGGAGTACAGGCTGTTTCATACTTAGGGGGAATCTCGGAGCACCTGGCATCGTGCTGCGACTAGCGCTGCAGTCGCGCGCAGACGCTTCAAGGTAGTGGAGTTGAACTGCGTCATCAGCTAAGGCAGCGCGCGTGAGCATTGCCGGCCAGCGCACGAATATCAATGTTAACGCGGTAGATGGGCTGATGCTCTGCACCTATCATTTCAGGAAAAGTCTGCACCGCTAGATAGGAACGAATACACAAGGAACGACGAACTTGCGCGTGCTTTATTAAGCGCGAAGAATTTCTTAGCGAACTTCGGCGACATTGAGCGTATCTATCTATCTATCTATCTACCCGTCCGTCCGTCCGTCCATCTATCTATCTATCTATCTATCTATCTACCCGTCCGTCCGTCCATCTATCTATCTATCTATCTATCTATCTATCTATCTATCTATCTATCTACCGTCCGTCCGTCCGTCCATCTATCTATCGATCTATCTATCTATCTATCATCTACCGTCCTCCGTCCATCTATCTATCTATCTATCTATCTACCTCCGTTATCTATCTATCTATCTATCTACCCGTCCGTCCGTCCATCTATCTATCTATCTATCTATCTACCCGTCCGTCCGTCTATCTATCTATCTATCTACCCGTCCGTCCGTCTATCTATCTATCTATCTATCTATCTATCTATCTATCTATCTATCTATCTATCTATCTATCTATCTATCTATCTATCTATCTATCTATCTATCTATCTATGTAACGGCCTACGACATTTAGATCTCCTGGCCGTTTCTATAATGGTATTGATACCAGACTTAGTACAGGAAGGCCCTCAAGCAAAGATTTTACACTGCGAGCAGTGTGAATCGGGCTCCTCGCATGCTGGTACATGAAACAACCGTCCTTGAACGGCCCATTCAAGACATAAGGGAGCCATTCTCTCTCTGTTGTAAGGGAGTACGTGGAGGCCGAAAGGTTCCCATCGATAAGAACCAGTGGTCCAAGTCCTTCCCTGGTCATGGCGGCCCAGACACTCACAGAGCATCGGCCACTGGCAAAGACCGACTGCGTGTGCTGTGGTGAATACCTGGCGAGGAAGGAAATGCTGGATTGGTTACACGGATTTATAAGAACGACAATGGCACATAGTCACTTTATCCCCGAACAATTTCGTCTTGCTTGAAGATCCATATAATAAAATTTTAATTATGCGAGATCGCCAAGATGGTGCGAAATATTCGACATGTTGGTAAGGCACCCTCAGTGTGTTTCAGAAGGCCTCGCAAACTCAACTGTATTTTTCTAAGGTAATGAGGTACAATATACAAACATTGGCTAAGGTGCTTAAGTTTGGCGAGCTGCTCACGATAAGAAGTAACACAGCTTAAAGAGAATCAAAGCTAAGCAACGTTCTACAGCAAGTTCGAAGACAATAAAGTGCTGGGCTTTACTTGCCTTAACCACAACGTAATTAAGGTGCACTGTAGTGGGTGACCTGCCATTAATTTTACCAGCTGCAGCTACTTACCCTGTGCACTACTCTTTCTACACATTCAATGGTGAATAGTACAATATGACATTAATGTAGAAGACAAATCGCAAATGTTACCTTGAGTTCATTGGACGCCATACTCGCCGTTCCTGATCCCAGCGACTTGAAAACGTTGATTCATCGCTGAACACGACTTCTCCCCACTCTTCTGAACCCCATATCTGCACAGAACGCGCAAACTGCAGTCGCGTGGATCTTTGCCTGTCCGTGTTGTGGGGCTTCTGGGCCGCGACGCAGTTGGCAAGCCCTGCTTCTGCCAACCTCCTACGGATAGTCCAGACGG